TTTTCCCCAGTATGTGGAAAAGCCGGAATACCTTCCGAAACCTGATTTCTGGTGCTAGATTTTGTTTCCTGCTATGCACCGCTGACTTCATTACAGTGCGGCCGCAATATTTACGTCTTGACTAGTGTAACGAAGTGTAAGAAGTAGAGGAACATAGCACACTAAAACTGCATTTTTTTCTCTCGGAATGTCTTATTTGCACAGTAACTGGAGGGATCTTGAGGTAAGTGAAGAATGTTGAGTTTTATCTTTAGGCAGGAAATTTTGTTGACACGAGTCTACGGTACGCACAGTCATGGTACTCGGTCGTATTAGTTTCTTTCGATCTGTTCTCCACTAAATAACGTTTCAGTCGCCATTTGATGTACGTAACTTTTACAAGTGTGTCCTAACTCTTTTATCATTAGTTTGAAGATTTTGGGAGGAACAAACTGACGACAGGTTGAATAGACCTGAACTAAATGGGTTATTACACCCGGTTCAGCGTGACCTCCACTCGGGACTCGGAGCGAATATTTTTTTCACCTGCTTGGCTAAAAGTGGTGTTCAAATTCTACCCTTCGATATATATTTTTTATAGCATCTTACCCTTGACAGTTTCTCTATAATTTATTTTACAATGTGCATATTATGATGTCCATGCTAATTGCCGAAAGCTTTTTTCAAACTCCWTGACTGAGAGACTTAATCAGGTGGTTGTCTCAAGAAGTCAAAGGATCACAAAAATTTTGTCGGTGTTTTTAGTCGAAGAAATGTCATAGTTTGGGCATACCATGCAACCACTGATATTAAATTGCTTGATTTTCTGCGCGTGAACAATTTGGGAAAATTTTTCCTCTGATATAGTAATTTTTAGAATCCCCCTGCATATTTGAAACAAACATGGAACACTATTATTAGGTTTGCATTTCCAGGCATGTAGCCTTTTTGGACTATTTGTTAGACCAGTGCTTTATATTACCATTTCAAAAGCACCTTGTTTATGTTATTTTATTTGTTTATTTCTTTTTGGATGAAGACTGAGGCCACTGTTCACTGCATTATAAACCCACTTAAATGATTGACTACTCAGTAATTTGACCTGCTCCATTGGTTTGTGAGGTTCAATTACAGTATTCATAACTAAATTTACTGGACTCCAGGATGTTAGAAAGCTGGGTTGGCTCAAAATCAAAGAGCGTTTAGAATTTGATACAGCTAAGCTAGTGCACAAGTCATACAATGAGGACTTTCCACTAAAACTCAAGTAACACGTCGTAAATAGATATAGTCTCAGGTCATTAGCTGCACAAAAATTAGAACTTGCCAACAAAATTGAGAAGAACACTCTACAAGATCAAGCTGCAGAAGCTTTTAATAATTAGCTTCCTGCAGAGCTAAGGAATTGCAGTGACCATGCACTTTTTTGTATAATTCTTAAGAGACACATACTGACATGCAATGGATAATGTAGTATAGTTTTTATTAGTATGCTAAAGCAGTGGATAGTGTTGAAGGCGCGCACTGATTGGCTAGTCAAACTCCGGATATCCTTGCTATTTACCTCCAAGCAACTCGAGAAAAAGTGGCGTGCCGGTTTGCATCCATGACAAGCGAATAAATCACTCAAATAACAACGAAGCAGTCCCTGAAAACACAGAGAAAGCGACTAAATTTGGTTTGGCTGTGTTTAAAGGTAATGGTAACCGGGAGTTTATTGATAAAAACCAGTGAAAAAGGTTTTGTTTACAAATGCAAATTAATCTTGCATAACCTCACTTGTTTACTTGAAAATCAAAGTTGAATAGTATTTTTTACAGAATGGTTTCAAATACAGAAAGAGTTTGCAACACTATTTGAAGAAATGTCGCCACCAGAGCTAAACAAAATGTCTTTAGAAATTTTATCGGTCAGCTAAAAAAACGAGACGGCAGTTTTTACAACAAAAAATCACTTACTGCGATCTGAGCCGCGTTGGATTGTTACGCGCGGGAAAATGTTGAAATTTTGGAATCGTATGAATTAAACTCAATTTTTGGTGGTGTATATTATCCCACTGTTTTAGTATATACTAAAACAACTATTCACCTCAGTGTCGGTGGTTAGCGGTGGATACTTACCTCGCCGCTTTGCGGCTCGGTAAACATCCACCCCTAACCACCTCCGCTTCAGTGAATAGTAGTTAATTATTCACTATTTTATCAATTTTGATTTATTGTAAGTATTATGTATATGGTTAGTTTTTATATTAGTAGCGAAGAGCCACTATGTGGAGGTATGCTAATAAAGGTCATTATTAGTATTATTATTATTATTATCATAGTTTTTATTAGTTTAGCATCTTGTTGGAGTGTCCAAGCAACAAAATCAAAGTAATGATAACCGACAATCAGAACATTCAGTTAAAATTGACCATTTTACAGTTGTGTACGTAGCTGCCATGCCTTTGACTTGGAGGCTGGAGGTGACCTTCTTTTGATAGAGACCAGTATTTAGTTAGCATGATAACAAAGTTATTTGCTTTTGAAAATTAACAAGGTTTGTATCATAACCAGGTCACCCTTAGCCTCACCACTGTTCAAAGACTATTATAAATTAAACTTAACCACAGTAAAGTGCGTGCTCTGATTGCTCAACTTAGTGCGCACCATTAATTGGCCATGGGTGTACGCTGCTGACATGAGCAAATTCAAAGACTAGTTTTCCCCACACACGTGTTATTTTTTGGTTACATGAGATTTGCTAACTAAAAGGGGACTCTGCTGAAATGTATCAATGTTATGTTATAAACATAACATGTGGAGGTTTGGAGAGTGGAGGTTTGCTTAGCACTCAAGAACCCAGAGTCCCTCTCAGCTATTGCCTCAGGTGACTCTTATGCCTCCATAACAAGGGTGTATGTGGTGGTGTTTACCATTTGTTAAATGGCAACCAACTATTGGCCAGGGGTCAATGAGAGCTCAAAGTAAAAATAAGCCAGTTGCCTTGAGGATATGAAAATGGGAGTGGCTGAGTTCCAAATGCTTTTTGGTTTTTAGTCTGGTTGGTGGAGAACAATTGGAGGAAGTCTCTGGGACTTATCATAGAGGGGGCTAAGAAAAATCAAAGTGATAGTGGATTGAAACTCAAAACTCACTTGAAAACTGCTTCACTTGAAAACTGCTCCATTTTTATGCATCACCTTTTAAAAAAATTTCTGGGAGGAGGTGTGTGTATCCACTTAAAATCATGAAATGGTTGCCAAGAATGAAAATATTGGTCACCCAGAAAAGTAGACACAGCATCAAGTATTACTTGGCAACTGAACTACACCACTAATAGCCTAGAGTGAGTGGTGTGGCTATGGATTTTGAAACTTGGAATTAAGAAGGTTTGAGTTGGAAATTGTAAGCTTGAAAATAATAATAAATTGTTTGTTCTCTGTTTTTGTAGGCTTGGAGATGTGAAGGATTACCACTGACAACAAGTAGCAATGATGCAGCAAAAATGTTTGATGCTACCCTAACACAGGTTGGCTTTGGTTGAAAATTTATATGGATATCAAGGCTAAACTATAATTCCCTCCCTATGATAAACCCTCACCAAAAAGAAGCCCCTTCCCAAAATAAGCTCCTTCCAAAAATAAGCTCCTTAAAAT